GCCAGCTGTGTTCAACAGCCATGATGCTGGACCAGCGGTGGTGACAGCCCAGCTGTGTTCAACAGCCATGATGCTGGACCTGCGGTGGTGACGGCCCAGCTGTGTTCAACAGCCATGATGCTGGACCAGCGGTGGTGGCGGCCCAGCTGTGTTCAACAGCCATGATGCTGGACCAGCGGTGGTGGCGGCCCAGCTGTGTTCAACAGCCATGATGCTGGACCAGCGGTGGTGACGGCCCAGCTGTGTTCAACAGCCATGATGCTGGACCAGCGGTGGTGGCAGCCAGCTGTGTTCAACAGCCATGATGCTGGACCAGCGGTGGTGGCAGCCAGCTGTGTTCAACAGCCATTAATTACGCTGGACCAGCCGTGGTGGCAGCCACGCGGTCCAGCTGAGCTGGCGCAGTCAACATGCTGGGCTGGCATTTAATACGCATTGAGCCACCATGGCAAACACTCAAATATATTCGAAATATTCATAGACAACAAACGTATACATGTACATACATATTCAACACAACCATTTCTGAATTTATTAGGAGCAGACGTAAAAATTCTCGTGTTCGTAATCCTTCTATATAAGTGTTTTGAAACGCCTAGCTGCAGTGAACAGTAAAATCCATGACCATACACTGGGCATGCATAGTGCTTCTGGTCTAATTTGAATCATCACCAATGAATTCAGGTTATTGGTTGCAAATTTCTGATGCACTTGCGATGAAATTAACAATAATTGTGCCGCGATAAGCGCAAAGCAATTAAGGGGCAAACATATACGGTATACGTACGTTCCCCTTACGGTGTACGTATGTATACGGTATAATACGTACATTCCCCTTACGGTGTACGTATATATAGAGCATATAATTCGTACGTTCTATATACGGTATACGTACATTCCCTTTACGGTATACGTACATATACGGTATACGTACATTCCCCTTACGGTATACGTACGTATACGGTATACGTACGTTCCCCTTTCGGTGTACGTATTACGTATACCGTATAGGAACATTCCCCTTAATACGGCCTGTACGTATTACGTATACCGTATAGGAACATTCCCCTTAAGGTGTACGTACATATACGGTATACGTACATTCCCCTTACGGCCTGTACGTATTACGTATACCGTATAGGAACATTCCCGTTACGGTGTACGTACGTATACGGTATAAGTACGTTCCCTTTATTACGGTGTACGTATGTACACGGTATACGTACGTTCCACTTACGGTGTACGGCATACAAGGGTATACGTGCAAATCATCACTTCAGGTAATGGTTCAATAAACATCGCACGCCGTATATAAACACTCCAAAATATTGCCTGCAATCAAAAACTCTCACGAAAACAATCTGAATTGTGACGTTAATTTCTTCATCAGACAAACCCAAGCGCCGGTAATTTCTTAAGGCTCGCACTCAATGAAATTTGTGGGACACGCGTCTGCGCTGCTATAGCGGTGATGCCGGTCAAAGCCAATGAAAGTAAAACCAGCAAAATGTTTTCATTTTAATGGCAATCCATGATCGTGGACAATTATTGGCAAATGCGATTATGTATATGGTTAGAAAGACTGGGTGTAAATACAACAACAACATGCTTCTCTGAGATCAAATCTATGATCCATTATGAATTGTCCATTATCAGTGATTCATTATCAATGATGCATTATCAATGATCCGTTATCAGCGATCCATTATTAATTATTGGTCTATTGTCAATGGTCCATTATCAATGATCTATTATCAATTAGCCAATATCAATGGTCTATAATCAATTATCCATTATCAGTGATCCATTATCAATCAATGGTCCGTTATCAATGGTCCATTATCAATTATCCATTATCAATGCTCCATTATCAATGATTCATTATCAATGATACTTTGGCAATGCTGCATTATCGATTCTCCAGTTTCAATGATCCGTTATCAATGGTCCATTATCAATGATTCATTATCAATGATCCATTATCAATGATTCATTATCAATGATCCATTATCAATGATTCATTATCAATGATCCATTGGCAATGATGCATTATCAATGATCCACTAGCAAATATCCATTACCAATAATCCATTATATTCACTATTTTTCGAAGTTATCTCAAGGTGACTTGTTATCTGAAGTCACCACCCGAAATCAAAGTTTGAAGTGGTGCAGTTCATGCCACTCTTATAGGAAACATTTCAAACAACAAAAACGACGACAGCTCTAACTTACACTTATTTTATAGAAATCAAAAGTTTGAATACAATTTAATCAACTTTACTGTTGATTTCATACTCTAAGTAAATATTCCATGAAAAGAACGATTTCACCAGCTGGAAATATAATGGGATCGCGCATTAAAAAGTTACCGTTCTACAGCGCGCTGTTAAAGAACTCAATAATTAATAATTATTGCGCGCTAATAAGGAAATCAATTAAATAATAAGATAAATTATTTCAAGTTTATTGTAATTACTGATACTCACTTGTGCTGCATGTTCCAGGGGTTGGTGGGGATCCTGTAACAAATAATTCTGTTAAAGAAAAGCACCCTCGTGATTCGTATACACTCAATTAAACGAGAATAAATTCATCTTTGTGGTTAAACGATCTTCTCAAGTTCACGTGAGTGAAGTACTGCAATTTTTAACTTATCTACTATAGGAATCGAATTTACATTATGAAATAAAGTAATTCTGTTGACAGAAATTTTGAACATGCATTTCAACCTTAGTATCCTCATCCTTATCATTAGTATATGTTAATGAACACAGTCCCAGGCCACGATGGATCGCCGCCTTTTCAAATGAATTATTAAAAAGTTACCGCTTACGGAGAAACTCAATAGATATGCCAGCAATTACAATACATTTTGGATACCTTTAGTTGGACACGAAGTTTTTAGAATTGAACGATGACGACATTTTTAAAATAATAGTTAGATTCTTGTCAAAATTCTATAGGCATCCAAATCAGGTATGTTTTGAATTGCTGTCTTGCTAGCAACTTTCATATGTGTGAAATACTAGGTAATATCTTTTCAACATAATAATAACATTCCTGTAATCATTTTGTATACCTGCGACATATGTATAAGTGTTGGCTTTGCGCGGCGAATTCCTTCGTATCCTGCGTAACCTGGGAACTGTTGAGTCATCAAAGGTTGTACTATAGCAGTCAAGAGAATTTAATAAATAAATAGAAGCTAGCATTATCACAATTAGAGCAGTTAAAAACTTGTTTGTTGCAAAGCTTTCCTAAATATTTTGAAGTGTCAATATAAACTGTTCAATAGTGCCAATTTATTACAATCTTATTATTTATCTAATAATCTGGAGGGATAAAAGCCATTAAAAATCTCCTGTCTGTAGTTAATCTATCACGAACAATTTTTCAAAGCAACAACTGAAAAATAAAACAAAAGCTTTAACCGTTTTATCGGTGGCCAATGAAAGTACGATGGTCAGCCAGCTTTAATTATATGTACTCCAATGTATAACTCTAAAGCTTGTAATATGTAACCACGTCTAATAGACTCTCCGTCTTTTACTTAAGAGGGCCGTCTGATATTAAGAGGGCCTTACTACCACTAATGGCTTAATAACACACTTTCGATGGCGATTATCGTAATTATTGAAGCAGCGATAAAACTTTTTCAGCCACCAAACTTATTAGGTGGTCGCCGGCAGCTTGGAGTCGTGCAGCGCTAAACATAAAATATCAACAGCGAATATCGCAAAATTCACGGCACTCAAAGTATGGGCTTCGGTCCATCCAAGTATTACAATAATTATATTCTAAACTCATCAAAAGAAAATAATTACATCAGCCCAGAATTTTCTCTAAGCCGCCTTGGTACAAACGACAAAAGCGACAATAAAAGATCAGTAAATACGCATTTATACATATTTAATTTTTCAAGTAGCTCTTTGTGTTCTTTCTTGCGTATTTAAACTGCATATTTTATTGTTGAAATAATTGATAAAACGCTGCTGGTTCTGGGCAACTCTTCGTAGCTCAGTGTGAATTTTCTTCCAAGCTATGCAAGACCGGTTCACTGGAAAACCTCTTTCAATTTTAACAAAAATAAAGCATTATACCCAAAAAATAACATCCACCTATATAGCAAGTAACGAACTCTGAACCATGCTCTAACAAATCCACTTAGGCGCGAAGTCAAAGTTTGCAATAAGCTCGCCCCTGCGGGTCCATGTAACGCATAAATGTTTGGTCAAAAAAATATATAAGCAAGCATACTAAATGCGGCAGCAGCAGCAGGCCAGGCCAAAGCGTATAATTAGTATGGCCTAAACGGTATTGAGGGAGCATCACACTGCAACGAGAAGAGGCCGGTGAAAGTCATCCGCCTAATTCGAAAGTAATAAGGAATTTGCAGCTAGTGAGGCCGGGGCGCAAGATGGATGTGGTGTGTGCAAGTCCTTCCTAGGCATCTCATTACTCCTGCGATGTTCATGATGGTAACTGGCTTCGGCTTATCAAAGGGAAACCCGTCAAATAATTAGCAGACACACATGATGCCACGTCTCCATGGCCTGCGCCACGCACCTACACAGACACGGCAGCGGCGTGTTGCACTATACGCAAATAGTGAGAGACCTACACCCAGAAAATGTGCGAGGTTTTGTCAGAACAGAAATGCATTTTCTGAGATTGTGTGGGTGATTCTGAAACCTGTGTGCAGGGCAAAGGGGCGTATGAGTACTACATCGTGGGTAAGAAAGAGGGTCACTATTTGGACAATTTGACCTATTAATATTTCTAAGTGTACACGCTGCAAATTTGCCGTGCATTACTGCTTAGATTAAAACTTGCGCGGTTAGTTGTTTAGAATTTTTAGAGACGTGTAAGGAAAAGATGGTGAAAAAACATAGAATATTAAAGAATTCTGATTATCCCGATTTGGGAAGCTGTATAATTTGCATATTGTATAGCATAGTGTCGTAGCACTGCCGTGTACATCTTCTCTTCCATAGAGCACACAAACTCTACCGAAATTATATCTGCGGCCAAATTTAGGAGCTTCTATAAGAGGCGAGACGACGCTCCTCATGGATATAGATCTTCAACGGGCTGTCCACTGGACCAATAATTAAGGTGGACATTCATTTCAGGGCAGACTGTAATAATAGGCTACTGGTTCCTACAGCTCCCGCCCTACATTGCCACCATGCGCTTAGTCCAATATCAATAAATCAACGAATTTCTTCAAGCGCAAGCCAAAGTTAACGCAGGATATGTTTTTTACGGCGGCAGAATGTTCAAATTGTCGAACATTAACGCGATGAAAAGTATTGTTGGTGATTGCAAGCGAGCCCGGATGTAACATCTTTCTTCTGGTACCGTCGACCAGCCTCCAGTATATCACGATTAATAATTAGGTTCGAGTCTAGTCTATTATGTAACCGTTATCTCGCCAGTCATTGCAAGGCTGCTCGGTCTAAATAAGTCCTACTTTATGAACACAACAAGCTTTCGCTGGAAAAAATCGCTAAGCTCGGTTGAGGGAGCAAGAACGACATGCAAACATGCAGGCTTTAATGCAAGTTCTACCGAATTTTAATCAAATATAACTCATTATCGGGAATTTATATGCTAATCCTACTACAATATTATTTTTCTCTGTAACTGAAGACAACTTATTTTGTGGAGCCGACTTATGGATGGAAATATCATAAAACAAAATTCTCTAAGAGAACGATCGATTTACAGGTTTTACTATTCAGTACCTTGTTTTTATATATACATCACTTAGCAGGTTGTAATAAAATTCATATTACAGGCTGTTGTAAAATTCACATTACAGATTGTTATAAAATTCACATTAAAGATTGTTATAATATTCTCATTACAAATTGTTATAAAATTCACATAACACGTTGTTTATAATTCAACCGTAAAAATCAAAGTGAAAAATTAATGAGCAGTTAGGCCTGACTGGGCTTAAATTCACCGTATAGGCGAAATAAGATAAATAATTAACTATTATGTTAGTAAAATTATTAAAAATCGCTGAATTACAACCGGATGAATTCACGAAAAAACATGATAACGGAGGCAGATAAAAAAAACGTCAGAGAATTTGCATTAAATATCAGGGCAAAAATGGTTCTGAATTATTTCTGTACAAGTAATCTATTATAAATTAATATTGGTTTTACCTATATGAACACATATCCATATTCCGGTGATAATCATCCAGTAATTTTCGCTGCTCGGTGTCATCGGTGGCCGTTAGATGGCCGGCGATTACTCGGCGATTATCTTCCGTAACACAGGATTGCACATTAAGCCTTGGCCTGCCGCTGATAGGCCCTGTAAAATAAATAGTACCGCTGGTACAACATATTGCCGGTCCATACTGAGTAAAGATGACCCACGCAGGAACAAAAAATATAACTCGGTATCACTGCAGTGAGTGACAGAGAGCGCATTTTCTCGTCGACGAAAACTTGAGGTCACGGACGGACAGACAGACAGACGGACGGGCGGACATGGCGAGCACAATAGTGCATTTTTTCCATAAATGAGAAAATGCGTTAAAAGGTGCATTGCTATTTCGACTTAGTGTACACTTATTTCTTTGAGTGTACAACATCAGCACATCATACACGCGCACATGCCAGCATCACGATCAGGTGCATTGTGCACATGCCAGCTGCACGACCAGGTGCATTGTGCACATGCCAGCTGCACGATCAGGTGCATTGTGCTTATGCCAGCTGCAAAGATTTATTTAATAGGTTACTCGGATAAACGTAGGTTCATTAGATTGATCTTAAATCAAACAATTGAAGACAATTATTACAAGATAATTAATGTTCTTTGGTGCGCTACACTTGAAAGAGAAAAGCGATTGAACTATTGCGGACATCGGTTGAAAAATGCCCCTGTACCTTCAGTCCGCTCAGTTTTAGCCTTCTATTCGCATTTTGATTCAACCACAACATAAATTCCTGAGATATTTTGTAGATATTACTAAACGAGCCCAATTTTGAAAAAATTTAAGTGCGCAGAAAATCTTTTCTTCTTCCTCGACACATCAGTTATTTCAATGCAATCAATCTCATGTTGCTAAGAAAATGAATAGTCGAGCAAGACATAACAGTAATATGAAGCATGGAAGACATAACATTAACACCAATATGAAAGACCTATGCATATCAGAACCCCACATATTAATTACCCTTTCCTGACTGACGGGACTGTGGCGTCCCGCTCTATGTTTTACCATATAACTTGCAAACAGCACAACATTAGAGGCGCAGCTAACCACAGGGACATATTAGAAACACTCTTGCACCAAAATATAGTGACATCTGGCATCTGGAGAGGTTAGCACCGCAACAAACAGCATTGAGCATCGAGTGATTGCTGGATGCGCTGAGTATGTTTTTTGTCCATTGTGTTTTTCAGCCAATACGAAGAACTGAGTGATGAACTGCTACTATTTTTGGTAAGTTTACTGCTAAAGTATTGGTAAGTGGATAG